TCATCTGAATACCAAGTATTTGATATCTGATTTACTGTATATTCCGATATAATTTCTGGATTAAGGTATTTCATACCGATTTCTGAAATCTGATTATCTGACATCTGAATTACCATATATTGCTGTTTTGAATTCTGATTTCCGTATTTCTGCATATGGTTTCCAAGTATGAAACATTTTTATGTTTTAAGTGATTAATCATTGTTTTCACTTGAATACATTCATGTTTAATATCGTCATTGGGGGGTATTGTTGAAGGAAGATTATCTGTAGACTCTTCGGTTTTGTGCTCAGGGTCTAAATGGCATGTGCGATTGGGTGTATGGTTTTGGGGAACCTACACATTTATGATATGAACGGATGGGGTAATGTTCATATTTAAAGATAAAAACATGTTGCATAACCGATTTTATTGAAAGATTTTATCTGTATGTTTTTTTATACTATATGGAGCACACTAGGCTTTTTAGCTCATTCTGTAGTTTTTATCCTTTTTCAGATAACAACACACCGTAAGCTAGCAGATTTGGTATCTGGGGAGATCAACTACTTATTTTGTACGAACGTATATCTCTATATGTTTTTCGGTTATGTTTGGTGACATGTATTTGCTATCGTTTTGGATATATCTGTATTATTAATATTTTGTTCTATATTATATCTAATGTATTTCAAGAATTTTAAAAATAAAAAAAACTCTGAATGGGATATGTGACAACTTAGGTTTGGGTCTAACTTACAGACCGAGTCTGGGGGGGTTACATTTGGTGGTATCAGAGCTTTCGATTTTAAACACTCGGACTGTATATGAGTCCTAAACTTTGGGTTTTTAAGAAATTTTGAAGAAAAAAAATGTCACCTTATTTTATGATTTAAAGTTCTCTCGAGATCTCTGATGCTAATCTGACATATGTTTCAAATTCTTTCTGTAGAGCCTGATAGATCCAACAATGAGTGCTGCTAGAGGTCGTAGGACAGGACGTGGCCGTGGTCGAGGACGAGTCACTCGACCTTCTGTTACGATAGACGATCCGATGTCTCCACGTGATCTTCCTGTTCCGCAAGTAAATCCAACCCTTTCTCATGATGACCAGTTTACTCCTGTGAGAGACCCTCCCGTCACTGGAGATGAGGATACTGACATGAACGAAGACGCCATTAATAGAGCTATATTACGCATGTTTCAGAGAGCTGCCAGAGCCCCTAGTAATATGACTGCGATTGAGATTTCAAATTCTCTGGTTGCTGCTGGTGTAGTTCCATTCGAGGGTATTACTGGTGGACCTCCGACAGAAGCTGAATATTGGTTGGAGGACACGGAGAGGATTATGGATGAGATGGACCTCAGACCTGAACAGAAGTTGAAGGGGGCCCTAACTATGTTGAAGAAAAAGAGATATAGATGGTGGCAATCAATTTCTGGTAGTATTCCGAGAAACCAGTTAACATGGGATCTTTTCAAGACACGTTTTCGGAGTCGCTATATTGGGGAGAGATATCTGCAAGAGCGACGCCAGGAGTTTCAGGATCTGAAGTAGGGTAATATGTCTGTTATGGTTTACGAGGTGGAGTTCATCCGATTGAGTCGTTATGCCCCTAGACTTGTTGACACTGAGGTAGATAGATGCTTGAGGTTCGAGAATGGACTCAGGTATGAAATCAGGAGCCGAGTTGCTACTCACCGGGATAGAAATTTTGATACCTTGGTTGAGATAGCCAAGACTGCGGAGAAAATAGAGCGATTGGGTATGGAGCGCAAGAGAGACAGTGATCAGGCTCAAAACCGATTCAGGAGGCCTTCTAGTTCTGTTGATTCTTCTGCATATCCTAGCAAGAGAGGCATGAGTGATTCCTTTCAGAGAGGCGGTGTGAGTGTCAGACCTGCTGCATCTGGTTCTTCAGCTATTCAGCCTTCTAGACATGGTGGATCTTCTGGGTTACAACTTTTGCAGACATGTGATTATTGTGGGAAACATCATCTTGGGGGAATGCAGGAGAAAATTTGGCACCTGTTTTAGATGTGGTTCTGGTGACCATATTATAAGGGATTGTCCAGTGTCAGTTACTACAGTTCAGACACCAGCTCGTACTCCCGCTCGTACTCAGAGTACTGTTCAGACTCTAGTAGTGAGTCATATTTAGGGAAGAGCACCAGGATCGGCTAATAGAGGCCGAGCATCTCAGAGTAGGCTCCAGTCAGATCTGAGGCCAAACAACCTGCATTGGTTTACACTGCCAGGCTTCGACAAGATCGTGATGGGCCTAATGTGACTGCAGGTACTGTTACTATTCATTCAGTTCCCTACTTTGCATTGTTTGATAGTGGCACTACCAAATCCTATGTATCACATTCCGTTTCTGAGGGTCTAAATATTCCTGTTGAGAATACTGAGCATTCGGTGATAGTTCAAAGTCCCTTAGGCAAGTTCATTGTGTTGGATCGTATTTTTAGAAAGTGTCCTATAGAGATCAATGGGGAGATTTTTCTGGCAGACCTTATGGAGTTACCTTTGGAAGAGTTTGATTTGATTCTCGGCGTAGATTGGTTGGACATACATCGAGTAAATATTGATTTTGAGACCAAGAGAGCTTTTCTGAAGACCCCAGATAATCGAAAAATTGTAATGATCGGGGAACGCCGTGGATTTCTGACGAATGTTGTGTCTGCTTTGGTAGCTGAGAAGATGATCAGGAAAGGTTCTGAGGCGTTTCTTGGTTATATATTGGATACTAGGAGTTTCCTAATATGATATTGAAGGCATCCAGATTGTTAAGGAATTTCTCGATGTTTCCCAAGGAATTGCCTGGATTACCTCCGAATAGAGAAGTTGAGTTTGAGATTGAAGTCTATTATGGTTCCACTCCGGTTTCAATGGCTCCTTATCGTATGGCCCCAAAGGAGCTTAAAGAACTGAAAGTCCAACTTCAGGAGTTGTTGGATAGGGGATTTATCCGACCCATTGTATCACCATGGGGAGCCTCAATTCTCTTTGTCATGAAGAAAGACGAGACATTGAGACTGTATTGATTATAGGAAGCTAAACAAGCTCACGGTTAAAAACAAATATCCTCTGCCCAGGATCAATGATCTATTTGACCAATTTCGAGGGGCTTCTATCTTTTCAAAAATAGATTTGAGGTCTGGGTATTATCAACTATGGCTGAAAGACTCAGATATTCCGAAGACTGCTTTCCGTACTCGGTATGGGTATTATGAATTTTTAATGATGTCATTCGGGTTAACAAATGCCCCTACTTCTTTTATGGATCTGATGCATAGGGTGTTTCGACCTTATTTGGACCAGTTTGTAGTTGTGTTCATTGATGACATATTGGTGTATTCTAAAAGTGAAGCAGAACATGAGGAGAATTTAAGGATTGTTCTACAGACTCTAAGGGAGAATAAGCTATACACTAAGTTGAGCAAGTGTGAGTTTTGGCTCAGCGAAGTGACTTTTCTTGGACATATCGTTTCTGCTGATGGTATTCGGGTGGATCCAAGCAAAGTGGAAGCTATTCTGAACTGGAAGCAACCCAGGAACGTTTCTGAGATCCGTAGTTTCTTGGGCTTAGCTGGTTACTACCGTCGTTTCGTTGAGGGGTTCTCCCTTATTGCAGCTCCTCTGATGAAACTATTGAGGAAAAATGTTCCATTTGTCTGGTCTAAGAACTAACAAACTAGCTTTGAGAAATTGAAGACTGTTCTAACTCAAGCCCCAGTGCTGATTCAGCCTGAATCTGGAAAAGATTTTTCTGTCTAAAGTGATGCTTCTCACTCTGGATTAGGATGTGTTTTGATGAAAGATGGGAAGGTTGTCACTTATGCTTCGCGTCAGTTAAAGCTGCATGAGCGTAACTATCCTATTCACGATATGGAGTTAGCTATTGTGTTTTTTGCTTTAAAGATCTGGAGACACTACCTCTACTGAGAAAAGTGTTATATGTATACTGATCATAAGAGTCTGAATATCTACTTACTCAGAAAGAATTAAATTTGAGACAACGTCGTTGGTTGGAGCTTTTAAAGGACTATGATTTAAAGATAGAATATCATCCAGGGAAAGCTAATAGTAGCAGACGCCTTGAGCCGTAAGACGATATCAGATCTCAGAGCCTTATTCGCCAACTTGAATTTATTTGACGATAATAGTTTGTTAGCAGAGTTGCAGGTTAAACCTACTTTGGCCGATGAGATTAAGACCAAACAACTTCTGGATAGCTCATTGCTTCCCATTATTGAGCAAGTTAAGCAAGGATCGAGTTCAGAGTATACTGTGGATCATGATGGTATTTTGTGTTTTCACGGTCGTTACTGCGTTCCTAAAGATGATAAGTTGAGACGGGTTATTCTTCACGAGGCTTATAGTAGTCCTTATACTATTCATCCTGGCAGGGACAAAATGTACAATAATCTCAAAGAGCACTACTTCTGGACTGGTATGAAAAATAATATTTCAGATTTTGTGGCGAGGTGTTTGACTTGTCAGCAGGTTAAGGCAGAACACCAGCATCCATCTAGATTGTTACAGTCAATTAAGATTCCTGAGTGGAAATGGGAGCGCATTACGATGGATTTCGTTATTGGTCTTCCTCTGACTCCTTCAAAAAAGGATTCTATTTGGGTAATTGTTGATCGACTCACCAAGTCAGCGCACTTTATCCATATACAGATTAACTATTCTCTAGACAAATTGGCTAAGTTGTACATTTCGGAGATTGTTAAACTTCATGGTATACCATTGTCTATCATATCTGATCGAGATCCAAGGTTCACTTCCAGGTTCTGGAAGGCTTTGCACGAGGCTCTGGGTACTCGTTTGAATTTCAGTACATCTTTTCATCATCAGACTGATGGACAGTCTGAGCGAGTAATTCATGTGTTGGCGGATATGTTACGGGGTTGTGTGATTAATTTCCATGGTAGTTGGGAAGATTTCTTGCCATTAGTTGAGTTCGCTTACAATAATAGTTATCAGGTGAGTATTCGCATGGCACCGTACGAGACTCTGTATGGACGTAGATGTTGTACTCCTATATGTTGGACAGAGTTGCATGATAGAAAAACTTTGGGTCTAGACTTGGTTCGAGAGACTGAAGATACTGTCAGATTGATCCATGATCACTTAAAAGAGGCATTCGATAGGCAGAAATCATACGCAGATAAGCGACATAAGGATATCGAGTTTGAGGTTGGAGATCAGGTCTTTCTCAAGGTATCCCCATGGAAGAAGGTATTGAGATTTGGACGTAAGGGTAAACTGAGTCCGCGATTTATTGGGCCGTATCGTATTTTGAAGAAAGTTGGACCTGTTGCTTATTAGCTTGAGTTGCCTCCCCAGCTCAGTCGTATTCATGATGTTCTTCATGTGTCTATGTTGAGGTGATACCGTCCAGATCCGGATCACATTATTCAGGTTTTAGAGAGAGATGAGCGAGTTCTTCGAATAGGCGTATTCTAATGGTCAAAGTTCAGTAGAGTAATCGTAGCCCATCAGAAGCTACTTGGGAGACATTGGAGTCAATGGAGGCTCAATTTCCTCATCTATTTTCATAAGGTAAATTTTGAGGATGAAATTTCTTGTAGAGGAGGAGAATTGTAACAACCTGGAAATTTGAAAATAATATTTAATTGAAATTTGAGGATTTAATTATGTAATTGGTAAAAATTGGGGACTAAATTGAAAGTTTTCAAAACTTGTAGGTTGTTGTAGAGTTTAAGGAAATTTAGGGACTAAGCCCTGAATTTACCCAAAAAAAGTGTCGGCAGACACTCTATTAAATGGAGAATCAGATGTGCGTGGGGGGTGAATTATTAAGCAAAAATTTATAAGTTTTCTTCCTTTCAAGCCCTAACTTCTAACCACGATCCCGACGTCGTCCAACCTCTGATAGTCTTTTTGAAAACACCATCGTGTTCATCATCGAGTGAGGAACAAACCCCTTAAATTAATTGAAGTGAACGCTGTCAAACGCCGTGAATTTCAAGTCAAAGTCTCGACGTTTTTAGCTCAATCACCAAGAAAATCTTAAATTCATCGCCGATCGTTGCTCCGTTTAGACACCTCCCGCACCATCGTGTTCCTTGTGCCGTTCCGAGTTCGCCTGTGTCATCATTGGTCTCCGTCGACGGCGGCACGTGGGGAGGTGAAGCGATCAAAGTTTTTGATTTTGTTGAAATCGAACTCTTTGCTATTCAAAAATTTGAACCGAGCTTTGTAAGTACCTCGAAATTGCTGAAAATAATTTTTAGAATTTTTCCGTGAATTATATGCTACCGCAAGACGTCCCATGCACCCCTACTGCGCGTGGGGAAGGTCAAAATGACCGGTTTGACCGGTTACAACCCGACCTGACCTGTTGACCCGACCCGACCCAACCTGTTGACCCGACCCGTTGACCCAGGTGCTATTCTGGTAATTATTTGGAAAAGGGTGCTATTCTGGTAATTATTTTGAAAAGGTGTTTTTTTCGTAATTTAAAAAAAATAATTTCGTAATTTTTTAGAAAATGATATTTTAGTAATTATTTTGAAAATGGTGATATTTTGGTAATTTTTTTGAAAATGATGTTATTTTTGTAAAATGGTTGTTCATATCTTGATCACCTTTGACCAGAACTTTGACCGACCATTAAACGGCCGTTAATCTTTTCCGAGAATACCTATCCGACATTTTTTGATGTTCCGAATCCGTTTTTGGGGTTTGTTTCACCAAATTCAAACCCGAAAGTCTCCAAATCGTCAGTCAAACCTGTTGACTTTTATTTTGACCAAGAATTCAGAATTTCAGAAGGTCATACTTTATGTTTTTCGACGTTCTGAATCTGATTCCGAAGTCCGTTTTGCCAAATTCTGACCTGAAATCCCCGAATCGAGCTTGTGAACCCAAAAGGATTAGTATTTTAATATTTTGATTATTTATTTGAGTTTTGGTTAAGGAATTGATTCAATAAAATATTTTATGAAGGTACTCGTGTTTCACCTGAGCGTGGATCAGTTAGGTCTGGAGTTGTTCGTTCGTCAGATCGGCCCGAACCGCGTACTACAAGAATTACCCGTAGGTTTCCGTATATTATTTTAAAAAATTAAGATTATTTATATTAGGATTCCAATATGGATATTTCCAATTCGTAGGATCTAGCGCTGCAATAGAGCGTGATCGAAAAACCCAGTAGTAGGCTTCCCTATCTGATTTCTCAGACTGTTATAGGTGTGTTTCCTGACAGTATTATATTACTGTTTTAAAATGATTCATCTGAATACCAAGTATTTGATATCTGATTTACTGTATATTCCGATATAATTTATGGATTAAGGTATTTCATACCGATTTCTGAAATCTGATTATCTAACATCTGAATTACCATATATTACTGTTTTGAATTCTGATTTCTGTATTTCTGCATATGGTTTCCAAGTATGAAACATTTTTATGTTTTAAGTGATTAATCATTGTTTTCACTTGAATACATTCATGTTTAATCTTGTCAATGGGAGGTATTGTTGAAGGAAGATTATCTGCAGACTCCTCGGCTTTGTGCTTAGGGTCTAAATGGCATGTGCGGTTAGGTGTATGGTTCTGGGGAACCTACACATTTATGATGTGAACGGATGGGGGTAGTGTTTATGTTTAAAAATAAAAACATGTTGCATAAACCGATTTTATTGAAAGATTTTATCTGTATGTTTTTTTTATACTGTATGGAGCACACTGGGCTTTTTAGCTCATTATGTAGTTTTTACCCTTTTTCAGATAACAACACACCATAAGCTAGTAGATTTGGCATCAGGGGAGATCAACTACTTATTTTGTACAAACGTATATCTCTATATGTTTTTCGGTTATGTTTGGTGACATGTATTTGCTATTGTTTTGGATATATCTGTATTATTAATATTTTTTTCTATATTATATCTAATGAATTTCAAGAATTAAAAAAAAAAAACTATGAATGGGATATGTGACCACTTAGGTTTGGGTCTAACTTACAGACCGGGTCTGGGGGGGTTATACTAAGATTTTGGATGGTCCTTTCGAGACTAACTTCATGAATTCATTGAATCTTAAATGTAAGAGGCTGAACTTACTAAATGCTCTTGATTAGGGACGAGAAAAACTTTACTCAACTCGAAAAATTATTTTTTTCGACTCGAATTAAATTTGAGTTGTAATTTCATAAACTCGATTTGATTAAAAAAATTTCAAGTTTAAATCGAGTTGTAACATACAACTTGAATAACTCAAAATTTTTAGTAATTAGTGGATTGGTTTTCAAGTTTGACGACTCTGAATGATATATGTATATTACATATGAATAAATATATATATGTATTGTATATGATTATAAAAAAATTAAAATTGAGGTATTAGATTGTAATAACCCTGAAGATCCAATCCATCTACATATCTGATGAGTAATGGTGCATCCTAATTAGGAAGAGATAATTTTATCCATCATGAAGCTCTTTTTCATCCTAATGAGCAAGTGGGGCATTAGATTGTAACAACCCGAAGATCCAGTCGAGCATCCACATATATGATGAGTAATGGAGCATTCTAATTAGGAAGAGATCATTTCATTCATCATGAAGCTCTATTTCACTTGCAGTGTCTTGTTTGAGTTTGTTTTTGTTCTTCCTTTATTTACCTAAATATTTTGTAAAAATGTTTGGTGATTGAACTTATGCTACTTTTTGGGTTATAAGCAATTAAAGAAGTTTTAATCTTGAAGTTCTCTTGAGTATCAAATTAATTAAATATTCTTTTTATTTTTCAAGAATTATATACCTTTGGCAAGTGGCAAAATTAGACATTTCATATCCAGTTCAAACACAAAAGCACTATTACTCGATTTTTTAAATAATTCATGGTTACTATCAAAACTAAATTTTGACGCTACATTTTCTAAGACTCCAAAGTCATACCTTTACCTTTTTTGAGACACCAAATTCATACTTTTATCTTCTCGGGTAGAACCGATCTGGTTATAACACAACATTTCCATATATACATGACTTCAAAGTCATATCTTTGTCATTTCAGACACAAAATCATCATTTTTCTTTATACTAGTAAAATCGGAAGGCCTCAAGTGCAAAATTTTCATTAGTCCATGAATATTCCTACAAGAGGAGACGAGATGGGGCATCATGAATCAACTTTTTGAAGAAAAGATCGAATAATTGGGGTATGCTACGAGCAAGAAGAAAAATAAATAAAGGGAATGATTTAAATAATTCTATTATGCATTAATTACATTATTTTCATGTAAATAAAAATTAATCTTGAATATTCATCCCCTTGGGGATACCTCTTTTTGCAAGGACTTCTGTGTATGAAATGATGAACGGTCTTCTTTCATTTATCCCTCCACAAAAAGGGAAAATATATATACCTTGTTGTCCCCATTTGAACCTGAACTATTTTTTTTCTGATTCGACCCTAATCAAGGACCACCCTCCACATTAGGGGGCAAGGTGAAGGATATTTGCTCGCAGGAGTAAAGACTGTCAATTCAAGATTTATTACAGGGGCAAGTCTCCATGAAATAACGAGAAACCAAAAGGAAGATCAAATGCAAAGTGATTAGAGATCAGATCCAGTCAAGAACAACAAATGAAGTTCCAAATACAAGAAACAAAAAGGTCAAAAATGTGCTCAAAGCAAATGGAGTCCTATACTCATCCAATAAATTCACAAAAAATATAGAGATAAAGAGGAGAGAAGAAAATAAAAAAGAAGATAAAAAGAGAAAAAAGAAAAGAGAAAATATAGAAAAAGAAGAAGAAAAAAGAGAAAAAAAAGAAAAGAGAGAAAAAGAGAAGAGAAAAGATAGAAAAAGAAGAAGAGAAAAATAAAAAAGATGAAAAAAAATAAAGAAAATAAATCAAGATGAGTGACTCATTGAGCCTCAAACAAAAAGGTTGATCAAGTGGAATCGTTTCAAAGATTCAGATTCAACAAGAAGAGCGAGAAATACTGAAGATATAAGAAAATGGAGATGAACTCTAGGATGAAAACCTAAAAATGGATAGTCTAATGGGATCCAGAAAAAGCAAAAGAAAAAATAAAAGACAAGTAGCAAACAGATCCAAGTAGAGTAAGGAAATATTGAAGGCATTAGAATGAATTGATCCTTGGTTCTATTACCCTTAAACACTCGTTTTGCCCAATTTATCATTTTCTTTCATAACCGTGAGCCCTGGCCTATGTTACGTGCCTGAAAAGTCCATTCTAATCATACAGGGATTTCTAAGTGAAAGAGACTATCTTCAGATTTCATTCAGCTTCTCAGAATTAATTTTTATTTGTAAGAATTGGTTTTATAAAAATCTTTAATGCATGATAGGAAAAATAATAAAGGTGAGTTCAAGACGTAAAATTTTGAATAACGTCTTGAAGCCAAAGGAGGATTTGAGTTGAAAACCTGAAAGGGCGGCTTGAATATTAAATTGTGCAACTACGACATAAGATGAAGTCTTACAAAGCTCTTGATGAAGCACGACACATCCCAAACGTGTCCCTAAGAATTTGGAACTAGTGAGTATCTCTAGAAGATGAGCATAACAACCACTTCCTCAAGTCAGTGGACGCCCAAAGAGACATATATGCTATAATAAAAAGGTTAACCTAAAAGACCTTACCTTTTTCAAAATCAACTTATATGTTAAATTTGTCAGTAATTTTGACATTTTCTAGAGGGCTATGATTGTTTTGAAAGATTAAAAGAGTAGTTAACTTGTTTGATATTCATTAAACTCATGTTTTAAAATTTTTAATTGCGAGCCTATTGTATGGGACACAATTTTTCAAAAAAATCTTCATCAAGAATTTTCAAAATTTGAAAATAAAAGAAACATTTTCAAACAAGATAATGTTGACATTTGACACAGATCTCATGCTTAGAATTAATGATGGAGCAAGAAATGATGAATATTGGGGGCACTTTTGAGGGCTCGTATCATCCATAAATAATAAATGTTGGGGCATTTTTGAAGGCCCATATCAACAAGAAATGATAAATGTTGGGGCATTTTTGAAGGCCCATATCATTTAGGAATACAAGATCATTGAATTGAGCAAACATTTATTTTCAATGAGACATAAAGATGTGAAGAATGAAAATGGTGAAACAGGGACAACGAAGCTTAGTATATATGATTGTTTTGTCCATCATCACAACATACAATTGCATTATTTTAGGTGATTTCCCATACATTAATGTTGGCAAGTCAAAGCGTCCCACTTATATTCCCACTGAGCTAAATCCTTCGGTATCCTTGCAATGCAGTACAAAAACTCTGAACACCATGTAAGGAGCTTCCCTGGTTGAAAAAAATATAGGCAGAAGACACAGGAAAGGATAAATAAGTTGTCAAATGTTTTATTCTACAACCCTGAGATTAAAAGTGAGGAATGGTGAAGATTTCCTTCCATGTAATAGACGATGGAATTTTAACATCAAGAAACTAGCGGAGCCAATTAAGATTGAACGATGGGTTGTTCTTAAACTTCTTGTCATGATTTGATACAAATAGCCTTGTTCAAGATTTGATTAGATGTGGAGACAGGAAAGAAATTAGGATAGTCCCTCCATTTGATGGTTTCAAGAGTTAAATCAAAATAGACACTGCTCTCCTATTGATATAGTGGATAAAATGTTTGAGGACATCCAATCTAATCTTCTTGGAGCTCCACAGTTCCTCCTTTGTGTTTTACCTAATAATAAAATTCTAATCTTTATAGTTTGGTATAGTCACACAAGTGTATGGCAATACCTTTACGAATTTGCTTATAAAAATCAATGCAAAACTTAGAGGGCTAAGTTCGAGGTTAGCAAATGGGAAAATGCCTTCAATTCCATTTATTTCTAAGGTTCAACCATCATCATTGGCATGAATGTGTCTCATGGCTCCCCTAGGCAGTCTGATATTCCATCAACTGCTACGATGGTCAGCTCCAGGCAGTGACCTTTGATTTCCCGCTACAGGGCAACAACACCTGCACAGTCTCCAAAGCTTGAAATGGTGGATTCTTTTTTCAAAGATGAAAGCTCTATTGGATTGAACACAAGTTCAAGTCGAGAAAACCTATCTTATCAGGGGAAAATTTACTGGGGTAAGAAAAAATTGACACAAGACAAGAATACAAGAGTGTAACCAGTCAAGGATGAATTTTGGAACCCAAGTAGGGAGGAGCCACGAAAATACCCATATTAGGGCATGACAAAAAAACCTAGATCATGTTGAGATAACAAGATTCAGATCGAAAATACATTGAGAATAAGTCTCACGGCTTCGAGTGTCAGGAGCAGACCATGAATTTGAGCAGAGCTTACCAGGTAAAGCAAACCATTCGAGCATCAATTAACTGTAGAGTTCTGGAAAAACAACTCTGAAAGGGTAACTGAGCGAAGGACAGAAAGGGGTATCAAGATCATATTACTGACCGTAGCAAGAATTCGAGAGAGAAAACACTTCGTCTGAAATGAAGACTGAAAACAAAGACCACAGGAGGATCAGGCTGATCCTCTGAAGATTACAGACCTGAGTTGACGAGTTGCTATATGTTCTATGCAAAAATGACCAAGTGAAGGAAGACTGAGGTCTCCACTTTAGTGCGAGAAGAATATTGATCAACATTTCCGCATACAATAAATTCATGCACTACATTTAGAGATATTTAAGTGCATTATTTCATTAAGTACATTATTTCATACCTGCATATTTCTTACAGATTTTCAAGAAAAGAAGAGAAAAGAAAAATCAGAATTCAAGCCTCAAATGTAGGGAATTGCATTAGAGTGGCAAAAACTCAAAAATTGAGGTGAACAATACACAAAATAGTCATCATTTTTTAAGTGATGCATGTTACCTATTTAATGTGTTTTTAGAAACTAAGTATGCTTTTCAGAGGTTTCTAAACATGATAGATTTTTTTTGAAAAACTAAACTTGATTTGAAAAAGTTTCCAAAATTGGTAAGTCCTCCGGGCCATCAGTAAGTCTTTCGAGCATGATGAGTAAATCCTTCGGGTCATCTATAAGCCTTTCGAGCAAGAGGATAAATTCTTCGGGCCATCCATAAGACGTTCGGGTAGGATGTTTTCACATGTTTTTTTGAAAAATGAGACAATTTTCTCATTTAATCTGAAAATTGAAATTTTTCAAAAAAATGAGAAAACAATGTCCAAATTTTCTCATTTAAGTCTCTCCTGAAAAATGAAAATTTAAAAAAAAAATAACAAATTAAGATTTCCGTGTTTGGTGGAGGTAAGATAAGCTCTCATAAGAGAAATCACTTTCCAAAGATTATCATCCCAAGACTCTCAGGTATGATGTTTTCTAAGTCTCAAACACATGCTAACAAAGGTTAATGATTAATTTTAGATTTGATATTCTTGAAGACAAGAGAAACAAATCGAATTCGATTCAATCTTCCCTGAAGAACAGTAGAATGAATCAACGTCTCTATATCTAATTTTCCCTCAAGAATAAGCGGGACAGATTCATATCTTTTTAGATTTGATATTCCCTGAGTAACAGTGAAACAAGCCTGCCTCGATTCAATCTTTCCTGAAGAACAGTGGAATGAATCAATGTCCCCAGATCTGATTTTCCCTCAAGAAAAAGTAGAACATAACCATCTCTTTCAAGATTTGATATTCCATGAGTAATATTCGAACAAGTCTGCCTTAATTCAATATTCCATTGGTAAAATTGGAATGAATCAACATCCCCATATATGATTTTACCTAAAAATGAAATGGAACAGATCCCTATATTTCAAGATTTGATATTCTCCGAGTAACAGCGGAACAAGTCTGCCTCGATTCAATCTTCCCTGAGTAATAGTGGAATTAATCAACGTCCTCAGATTTGATTTTCCCTCAAGAACAAGCGGAACAAATCCCTTTCTTTCAAGATTTGATATTCCCTGAGTAACAGCGGAATAAGTCTACCTTGATTCAATCTTTCGTGAGTAACAGTGGAATTAATCAACGTCCCCATATATGATTTTCCTTCAGGAAGAAGCGAAACATATCATTCTCTTTCAAGATTTAATATTCCTTGAGTAATAGTAGAATAAATCAACATCCCCAGATATGATTTTCTCTCAAGAAGAAGCGAAATAGATCCCTCACTTTTCAATATTTGATATTCCCTGAGAATAAGTGGAACAAGTCTGCCACGATTCAATCTTCCCCGAGGAACAGTGGAATGAATCAACGTCCCCAGATCTGATTTTCCCTCAAGAAGATTGAAAACATGTCCCTCTTTTTTAAGATTTGATATTTCTGAGTGACAGTGGAACAAATCTAGCTCGATTTAATCTTCCCTGAAGAAGAGTGGAATGAATCAATATTTCTTGATCTAATCTACCCTCAAGAAACAGTGGAGCAAATCTCTCATCAAATTTCAAATCATTGAGTCGACCGAACAAAAATTCATTATATCTTCGTCTGCCCTATTTTTGTTAACACAAGAATAGAAAAGAGGGGCAGCTGTCGATAGTGGTTTTCGTTTGGAGATAATTTATCATTATTATTATTATTATTTATTACAAGCCAAACAACCAGCCCAAAACTGGGTCTTGAATTTCAACAGGCCCATTCGGACTAAATAAAAGACAAGCCCAATTTTAAACCAGTTATAACCTTGACCAAGACAGACTCGACTCGGACCCGGTTGTAGCTATACCAACCTTCTACCGATGCCATGCCCTGTCCCAAGCAGAAAATTTCTGCTCCACGTCAACAACCCTACGTCAGTCACTGTGTTCACCATGCCATACCACCAGCTGCCACAAGAGATAGTTCCCCTCTTCTTGTCAACCAACCCACGCAACAAAATTAGAAGAATAATTTTTATTCTAACATTGTAATGGGGATATATAACCAAAAAAAAAAATGCAGGGGGAGGGGATGATTCGAATCAGGACATAAAAAATCAGGGGCTCTGGATTTTGAAAAACAGATTGTAAAAGGGGTTCTTCCCCACTTTCTTTCGATAGTGATATAAAACAAATTTTTTTCTTATGAGTTCTTTCTCATAAATCAAACACTAAGATATATATATGTTGGGACCGTCGGCGCACCCCACGACACAGCGGAAACAAAACTCGACGGTCTCACCAGCGATCCAAGTATGTAAAGCTGAAATCGAGAGGAATGGATGAGAATACTTATAGATGGTTCCTTGAAAAACAACAAGGACAACAACGACTGATGGTGGTGTCGATCAGTTTAAATCGTAAGCCTCCACAAAATCACGTATCGACCTCTACTCAGTTCACCCGATTGAGAGCAATATTTGTTTTCCCCAAAACTATTTTTGAGAAAAACTACTGAAGATTATGTGTGTTCTCAACGAGTGTTTGACGTAACATATCTTTTTATATCCGAGTTACCCTAATCATATTAGGGATTTTTATTATTTTAAATTAATTAAATTTTTATTTAATTTATTGGAATTAAAATATTCATGATTATTAAAACATATGTATATCAAACATACATATATTAACTCTAGATATATTTCAGTATTGTACAATAATTGTACATCCTTGCTCGTTTCAATCCTAGGGTGTGACCCTGTAGGTTATTGTAACGTTAGCAACAATTATTAGAACAATTCTAATATTACATACAATGAGTGACATCTAGCAATATATCATTGTCACCTAAGTTACAAGAAAATATGATTCGACATATCATCTTGTGATTAACTCTTTTATGTATTACGTCCTTATGTCATTATATGTAGAATAGGCACAAGTTTTGGAATAGTCACACTTGTATAGCCCATCTATTGTTTCTTAATATCTAGAGTAGACTTTAATTAAAGAATAGTTTATGATATCTCATATCAACTTATTCGAGCATGGTCATGCGTTTCTAGTC